GACAGGACACTTGTCGTTTTTCGTTTATAAGTAGGCTTTTCACACTACTGGTGGATCAGATGTATAAACTAAAAATAAATAATGAACTAAATACCCCCCAAAATGCGTGATCTTCCTTAAAATTCACATCTGCCCTGTGACTAAATGGCACTGGTCCCAATGTTTCCTAGTGGTTAACATGTTGAGGTTATACTCTGCACAACCCCAAACCCGTTTTCGCGTCCCGCTGGGGGTGCTGATGAGGCCAGTTCAGGCGAGGTATAAACTACAGTCCACTCGTTCATGGATGCAAACACCTTATGGGAAGGCAAGGCTATATGAAATGTATAAGATTGTGGGAAAATTCAACTAAGAGAATGAACACATTTCGTATAAAACACTTGTTGGTTGGATATTTGCTTCTGGATCCTCTTCAAAAGCCTGAGCGATGAAGGCTAACATCTACAAAATGTTTTGGGGAAGTCGCAATATTATTGTTAATACTGTACGATTGCGAATGCCTCGAAGATATGCGTAAAGTCTAGTAGAGGTGGACAAAATAGAAAGAAGGAAAAATAAGTACCGACTAATGAGCTAAGCAGAGGGACATATGCCTCCTACTGATAGACCTTCTCCTCATTTCCCCAGTGACATTATCACTGTCGGGCCCGTTAGCACCCAGTAAACTTTATGTTGGACAATGAGGTTACTTTTTAGTCGATCATTTAAAAAAAATACATGACTTAACTTGGGTGGATGGAAGCTATACAGTTCAGATATACTGTTGGTAGGGTTAGACCACCAAAGGACAAGGGACCTAACAACTGGGGGTTTGGAGGGGGAGGAAGGATGGAACGCTTCTCCTGTCAATGAAAGTACTCTTAATGGAGTAAAGAATTTTACTTGTGTACAGGGTTCACAATGTGGATAGACGAATCCATATAAAGATCCACGAATCGACTGTCTACAGCTTATTTATAACTTAATTAAATAATTGATTTGTTAACCGAGGGTCAGACGAGCAAGATTTCATCCACGAATCTGCCTTAGCCCAAGGTTCTCCGCTGAAGGGATACATTAACAAACGTGCAGATCGTCCCAGCGAGGACCACAAAGTCGTGTTTGCTTTAACTCCGCGGCTTACTGTCGTAAACACGCATACACACAACCGTGCAATGCACACACGGTGCTGGAGACCTGGAAACTGGAGCCACCAACAGTAGTCTCCAGCTCGTTCAGACCGGAGTACCAGGTAGACAAAGAGGGAGAGAATGAGAAAATGGACAGACATCGAGAGAAAAATAGAGAAAGAAAGAAAGAAAGATAGATAGATAGATAGAGAGAGAGAGATCATAACAGGAAAGAGATATACAGTATGGGGAAGAGGGAGAGAATTGCCTGCAGATGTGGCAGACTAATCGGCTTTTTCTTCTAAAGAAGTGGACGGCCGAGCGGAAGATAAAAAGTGGCTCCGGAATGCAAGTGGAATGAGTGGCTGGCCCTCAATTACACACAAACACGAAGAGCCCACCATAAATGGACACGGGCTCAATGTGGCAGGCATCGAGGGCTGCCGACAAAGGAGAGGAGCGGAACCATGCGAACGACGGAAACCGGCTGGTCCGGGCCCATGCAGTCGCCCGAACAGAACGGCAGAGCGGCACTTTCTGTATGCCAGGGAGATGGGAAAACACACCGCCTCGTCTAAAGAGAAGACCGAGTAGGCGAGAAGAAGCGAATATGTTTTAGGAGATTTCTCGGTGAACAGCCAGAAAAAGAGCATTATCCCTACAGTTGCACCACGGCTATGGCAACTGCTACCTGACTGGGCGTGAATTGGGCATAACGATTGTGCCCTCCTGTCTGCCTGCTAGTCTGCCCGACTGCCCGACTGCCCGTCTGTCCGTATGTCCGTCTGTTTGCCTGTCTCTGGGACACCATGCAACAAGGCTCGGCCACAGACATGTCGCAATTTGGACCGTAGCAAGCAGAGGCATCACTGGTTCATGCCAGCGGCTTGGTTCACTTTAGCCTCTGATCGCTCTCCGATTTGCCCAACCCGGACCCAGCGTCGGAGCCTGCCACGGGACAGTTGCGAGTGAGGCAGCAACTGTACCGGAGAACAGTGGTCATATGGTGCCCTTTGGGGCTCGTCTGACCACCAACAGTCGATTGCCTCTGGGCGCTTGAATCGGTGTTTTGCGCCAATTTAGGCTCATCCACGTTGAGGATGAAACCGACTGAAAGCGTACATTTTAGGCGAGTTTTTATGTGAACACGAAGCTGGTTCGGCCTCTCTTCTGGAGGCAGTCCCCTTTCGCTGTAAATAGAAGTGGTTTGACTTGGTTTTAGCAAATTGGTCCGGTTGCCAAGGCGACCTCGACGAAAGCATCCTGTCCGAAATCCTCTACTATAGCAGTTTTGAGAATGCCCAGCGTCGCATCGCGTACTTGGTACATTACCAGACGTTTCGCCAGCACCCTAGTCGGCATCGTCAATGAGTTTTGCCATTCTCAACACCAAGCTACAACTAATGACACACCCACGTGAAGTCAGTCAGCAGCATTGTACTAAAAATGGCAAGGATCATCTTAGAATGAGCTAAGTAGCAGGTTTCTGCATCGAGGTCACCATGACAACACGACCTGGTGAAGCAAAAGAGGTCCAATCACTTCTATGCAGTGAATGGAGGTTGCGACTGAAATAGAGGCCCCACCATAATAAATGTACCCTATCCACGGTCCGATGCTGTTAACTCTCAGAAGCACTATAGCAGAGGACTTCGAACAAAGTGCCTCTAGCTAGGTCGCCATGGCAATAGGAAATTATATGTGAAGAAAAGTTGGGTTTCGGGGAATCTTTTGTTTCTTAACTCGTTAGCATGAATTTAGTTGTGATGATGATATCTTGCTCTGATGATGTTTGTTACATGACAAACAAAAGCTTAGCACCTTTTCACTTAAATCGAAGGAGATTGCCTCAGAAACAGCGTCAGCATGAATGTTCCAGTAAAGTCAATCGACAGCTGGTTAAGAGGAATCCACCGTTGTCATCTGGTGGAACCGACCTTCGAATCTCTTCAGCCAACACTTTCACTCGAAATGGAAATAAGCTCAACAATAAGAAATAAAACCATTTTCTAAAGCTTACAGTCCGACAACTTTCGGGTGTCAACGACTGTCCGTGATACCAACAGACTTAGCAACATGTTCAGAATGATCATCCACATTCTTTAACGCTATTAAATTTAAAGCGGTCTTACTTAATTTTCCCAACTCGATAGTGTTGTCAGGAGGACATGGTTGGACGCGCCTTGTTCGAAGTCCTCTGCTATGGTGGATATGCTAATTCCCAGCGTCGGTCCTTGGACTTGGTACATGTTTTGACGTTTCGCCAGCATAGTCTGTGAGCCTTGACAGTCTTAGCATCAAGCCACAACTCGTCAAAGGGACACGTGAAATCAATTATTTGTCCAGCTTTCTGCTGAACGGTTGTTTCATCACTCCTCATTCTGTCCTGGTACATCCACCTATGCTCGGCAGAAAATTGGTCAAGTGATTGGGTTCACTTGTCTCTTTGACGAGTTGTAGCTTGGTGCTAAGACCGACAAGATTCACTGACAATGCCGGTGGCTACGATACCGGCGAAACTTCTGGCAAGGTACCAAGTCTACGGTCAAACGCTGAGAGTCCTCATAACTGCTAGAACAAATAACTTTGGACAAGGTGCCTACAAATAGGTCGCCATGACAACACGACCAAGTAGCTAAAACGAGATCCGACCACTTTCATTCATAGGAATAAGACTGCCATTAAAACAGAGACCTCAAGATCTTAGCCATCATGCATGTTAATAACTTACTTTATCAATTTAGAGTAGACCAATGAGTAATAACAGGAAAACTACTTTCACTCAACCAGCGTGAAAGGAACATTAGATTCACGATGGAAATGGAAGAGAATAAGTCCTTACCTTTTCTGGATGTTCTCATCATTAGAGAAGAGGGTCAGTTAGGAAAAGATGTTTATAGGAAGCCAACATACGTTGGCTCTGCTTAATTTTTTTTCCAACCACAGTTACAAGACTAAGGTTGGAATGTTGAGATTGATGGTTCTTAGAAGTATGAGGCTAGC